CAGTGTCTGCTATTGTAAATTTTTCAGAGTAGATGCCAGTTTTACCAGTTATCTGCAGATGTAGAATTGATAAATAGCACCAGAGTGAGATTTGGTCCCTTGTGAGGTTGTCACTCTGGCTGATGTAAACATGGATTGATTGCATTTAAAAGAAAGTATCTTTAGAAACTGTATGGCAAATGTGTGATGCTGCATTTGTTGGGCAAGTATTTTTTCCTCTGCTGTTCCACCTACCTCTTTATTGCCCTCTTTATTTTACGTCAGGACTCGTATTGCCTAAACCCAAACCTCTTGCAAATCAAAGAACTGAAGAGTTACTTGACTCCTTCTATTAAATCTGATGCTGCTGTTGTCCTTTGGCAGTTGAGCAGATCTGCTCAAGAGGTGGTTTGGGTCCTTGGCCACCCCATTGGTGGATGGAAGTAGAGAAATCTAGGCAGGTTGAAGGTTGCTTTCTTTCTTTGTTTATTTGTAGGAGTCTCCCTGTGGATTTTACTTCGCTAGTCATTTTTTAAAAAAAATTTGATTTATATGCCGCCCTTCTCCAGAGACTCAGGGCGGCTTACAATGCATTAAGCAATAGCCTTCATACTTTTGTATATTTATACAAAGTCAGCTTATTGCCCCCACAAACTGGGTCCTCATTTTATCTACCTTAGAAAGGATGGAAGGCTGAGTCAACCTTGAGCCTGGTGAGATTCGAACTTACAATAATTGCAGACAGCTGGTGTTAATCACAATGCTTTTAGTCTGCTGAGCCACCAGGCCCATTTTTGACTCTAGCAGGCAGTGCTCATCTCCGTTTTGAGGCCATTGAGCCGGTGCTGTCAGAAAACATTTCCCAGTTGTATGGCCAGCATGACGTTATGGAGCCCTGTTACCTTCCCACCAAAGTGGTACCTATTTATCTACTTCAGGGGTAGGCAACCTTAAACACTCAGAGAGCCACAAAGGTCCTAACCGGAAGCCCCTGTTCAATTATGGAGCTGACCGGAAGTCTGGTTCCCCCATCATAGTCTCCACCTAGCATGGCATCCTTTTTCCTCTGCTGACCGGAAGTCCGGTTCCCCCACCATAGAGTCTCCTCCTAGGGTAGGAACATTTTTTCTATATCCGAAAGCCCTATCAATTGTGGAGCCGACCAGCAACAGGGAGCCACAGTAGAGGGATGAAAAAGCCACATGTGGCTCCGGAGCTTCGGGTTGCTGACCCCTGATCTACTCGAATGTGCATGCTTTCCAAGTGCTAGGTTGGCAGCAGCTGGGGCAAGGATGTCGTGTGGCACCTGGGTCTCGAACCTGGGCTGCCAGCTTTCCAGCCGAAAAGCTCAGCATCTTTAACCACTGGGCCACCATGCCGCCCATTTATTTATTTATATCCCACCTTGATTATTTTTTAATAAATAACCATTGTGTGGCAAATACACACAATGCTCCTTTGCACACAACAGTCCTTTCTCCTCTTATTTTTATGAGGTGACTTGGGCTGAGAGAGGGAGAGAAGGTTATGTTCTGCTTTCCCAAAATTTTCAAAGTGGTCACCATTAATTTTTGTTACATGGCATAAAATAAAAATAAATGCAGAAGGTGTGTCATTTGCACAAAAGCAAATAGATGTGTGGCTAAAGTTGGAAATATACTGTAAGTTCAAACTATTTGGGTGAGTAAGTTCAAATTAGTAGCAGGATTGAAAGTGGATATTCTGAGTTTTTGCCCAAATAAAATCTACAATGGTGTGGCAGGGCATTGGGCAGGGTTTACCCACATAGTCTGTGTGCCAGAGCCGTCCAGTACAGGTAGTCCTCGACTTACAACCACAATTGAGCCCAAAATGTCTGTTGTTAAATGAGGCATTTACCCCATTTTATGACCTTTGTTGTCTCCCTTGTTGAGGGAATCACCACAGTTAGTATAAGTTAGTAAGATGGTTTTTTTTTTTTTTTTTTAAATTTGATTTATATGCCGCCCTTCTCCGAAGACTCAGGGCGGCTTACAATGTGCTCAGCAATATGGTTGTTAAGTGAATCTGGCTTCCCCATTGACTGCTTGTCAGAAGGTCACAAAAGGGGATCACATGACCCGGGACACTGCAGTGGTCCTAAGTATAAGTCAGTTGCCCAGCATCTGAATTTTGATCACATTATAAGGATGCTACAAAGGCCATGTGAAAAACGGTCACAAGTCACTTTTTTCCAGTGCTGTTGTAACGTTGAACGGTCACTAAATGAAGTGTTGTAAGTCGAGGATTACCTGTACTTTGTTTCCCTAGATCTGCTCATCAACTGATCTCCTCTCCCACCCTCAAACCACTGATGCTTGGAACTTGTGTGTTTCAGTTTGGACGTGATCCACACAAAACCAGCCCTTTGTGGCCTGAACGTTTTGTCCCTCTTCAAGCCAGCCGTTGCGAGCAAATATCAGATAAGATGCAATTACTGCCATGCATTGAAATGTCTTGGCTGTATATATTCGGGGGCAAATTATGACAGTACCTGAATTTCTTACTTGTCTGTCACAAGGACACCCTACTTGGCTAACTTTTTCCGGACAGAGTGCCCAAAGTGCCTCCAAAACCCCAAAATGCAATGCGTGCGTGGTTGCCACGCATGCGCCATGCCCTCTGCCCATATGGGGCATGTGCGTGCATGAGGTGGGCGGGGTACATGCGCCCCGCCCCCTGCATGTGCCCTGTGCCCCATCCCCCTCATGCACGCACAGCCCCCTCGCATGCACACACCCCCACGCATGTGCGTGCGACTCCCCGTGCGCTCCCTGCTCATGGGTGACAGAGATCCGGCAACCAGCTGGCCTGCGGGAGGCGCATGCGCATAGGTGGCGCAGCTGAACTGGGGTGATGGTTCGCCATTACGGCCCTACAGCTGCTGGGTTTTTCTTGCAGTAAATGCTGATGGCATCAGGAGAGGCGTCAACTTTTTGCAGGCATCCTTTTGTCTTGCATAATTCTAGCAGTGGCTTCTTGAAAGTGACTGAAAAGCAAATTAATTAATTAAATACATACATACATGCATAAAAGGCTCTTCTCTACATGCGTTGGTCTTTCTCCCAACAGCTGTTACTACAGGTTGAGTGTTAATGGAAGTTATCTCTGAGAATAGAAAGTATTAGGATACCAAATTATTAATGATTTCTTGTTTAATAGTAACATTAGTAAAAATTACAACCTATAATGATAAACGGATACAAACTAAAAAAAGGAAAAGAAAAAATAAGCTATAGAAAAGAAAAAAGAGTAGAAAAAAATAGAAAAGAAAAAATACAGAAAAGAAAAATACAGAAAAATAACTTTTCATCACATATGACACATTTTAGTAACTGATCCCCTCCTCCTAAAATAGAGCAAATGATCTACACACACACACACACACACACACACACACACACACACACACACACACAATCTCTTATTTATAAACAAATCCTGAAATCTTATCACTGGAGTCCTTATCAGCAAAAGTCCATTAAGAGGTTACTATAGAGAACATACCTCTTTTAGCCTTGCATTAGGTAGTCCTTGATCTATGACCATAATTGAGCCCAAAATTTTCGTTGTAAGCAAGACGGTTGTTAAATGAGTTTTACAGCCTAAGAGGAGGAATTTGACCTAGGTGGAGACGAGGAACTCTCAATCCGTGCTGGACGTCCTGTCATTTCCCTTACAACAAGACTTACAAACATGGTGTAAAAGTGGGATAAAAACAGATGGTTAGAAAACGTAACCCCTTGCTTGGCTCTAAGCAGCACTATTTATTAAAAAATAGTTTTGCTTGATTGCATGAACAGTTTGCTGTTTTTATATGTCTTTTCCCTGCTTTTGTTGGAGAGCTGTTGTACCAAGTGGGAAGAAACCAGGTTAAGCCCCAAATTTCTTCGTTTCAAAGATTAGGTGGTAAAGCCATTTCATCCAGAGGAGGAGTCATTTTGAAAGGAGTGAGTGAGCCCCGAGTTCAAATGCAAGTACAGTAATGCAAAGTTACAATGGCACTGTAAAGAGTCACTTGGGACAATTTTTCCTTAGGCTCAAGGTTGACTCAGCCTTCCATCCTTTCTGAGATGGGTAAAATGAGGACCCAGATTGTTGGGGGCAACAGGCTGACTCTGTACCTTAGAGAGGGCTGATAAAGCACTATGAAGCGGTATATAAGTCTAAGTGCTACTGCTATTGCTATTTTTCACAGTTATGACCTTTGCAGTATCCCCATGAACATGTGATCAAATTTCAGACATTTGGCAACTGGTTCATACTTACGACGGTTGCACTGTCCTGGGATTGCGTGATCACCTTTTGCAACCTGACAAGGAAAGTCATGGGGAAGTCAGGTTCACTTAACCGTGTGACTAACTTAACAACTGCAGTGATTCACTTAACAACTGATGCAAGAAAGATCGCAAAATGGGGCAAAACTCACTCAACAAACATCTCGCTTAACAACAGAAATGTTGGGCTCAATTGCGGCCGTAAGTCGAGGACCACCCGGACCAATACCAGCTGGTATCCGATATTAGCAGATTGGCTCCAAGTCGAGTCTAAAGTTTAGGTAGGGCTAACCCAATGTATTTATCGTGTTTCTATTTATGCTTGTCGAACTTACTAACCAGCTGGCTGGGTCGGATTTGTGTAATTTTTCCCTCCAGCAGGGAAAACGGTGTGGAAATAATTGCAATTTGTTAATCAGTTTTTAATATTGGATTGATCTTCCATTCATCCACCCTATCCACGGGGAAGCTCAAAAAGCATTTCAGGGGTGCCAGTTCTCTTTGGCTTTGCTTATAGAACAGGGGTCTCCAACCTTCTGGGAGTTGAAGTCCACCAGTCTTAAAGTTGCCAAGGTTGGAAAGCTGGCTGAGGAATTCTGGGAGTTGAAGTCCACAAGTCTTAAAGTTGCCAAGGTTGGAGACCCTTGTTCTAGAAGGCCACTTATATCTGAACCTGCTGCCGCCTGTAGTTGGTCAAACACCTAACGCATATTTCTTTTCTTCCAGAAAGTGTGGATGCCCATCAGCGGAGTTTTGACGTAGGAATCCATATTGGCTACCAGCGTCGTAATAAGGATGTCTTGGCTTGGGTTAAAAAGCGCAGAAGAACTATTCGCAGAGAAGACTTAATCAGCTTCCTGTGTGGAAAAGCTCCTCCTCCACGAAACTCTAGAGCTCCCCCAAGACTGACTGTAGTATCCCCTAACCGAGCGACATCCACGGAAACTAGTTCTTCTGTCGAGACGGACTTGCAGCCCTTCCGGGAAGCCATAGCTCTTCATGGTAATCATGGTTTCTGCCTCTCCCTCCCCCCTCCCCCTTCCCAATCTTTTTTTTTTAATTGGAAAGAAGCACCTTCCTCTCTTAAGACCGTTTCATAGCTCATGTTTTTTTTTTTAATGGCCAGTGATACAAACAGTAAAACATCAAACGGGTTCTCGGTATGTTAGTGATCAAGGTGGGGCTGATGCAGGGTGAAATGCTACCGGTTTGGACTGGATCGCCCGATCCGGTAGTGATGGCCAGTGGTTTGGAGAACTGGTAGCAAAAATCCCTGCAACCCCCCCTCCCCCTCCATGCCCAGCTGAGCCCCGCAATCATCAGAGGCTTTTTTTTTCTTTTAAAAGCATTTTTTCTACAACCTCTTCGACCGAAAAAATGCTTTTAAAAGTAAAAAAAAAAAAAAAAGCCTCTGATGATTGCAGGGCTCAGCTGGGATCGTCAGAGGCTTTTAAAAGCATTTTTTTCCCCTGCAACCTCTTCAGCAGAAGAGGTTGTAGAAAAAATGCTTTTAAAAGAAAAGCCTCTGACGATCAGGCAACTCGGCTGGGATTGTCAGAGCCTTTTGAAAGCATTTTTTTCTGCAACCTCTTCGGCCCGAAGAGGTTGAAGAAAAAATGCTTTTTAAAGAGGGGGGGGAGAAAGTTGGCCACGCCCACCCAGTCACCTTACACCCCTCCCACCAAGCCACGCCCACAGAACCAGTAGTAACAAATTTTACATTTCACCACTGATGGGGCTGATGGTTCTCTTTTCCAGGCCTGGCAACTCCTTGCAGATGTGGGCCTCTTTGCAGGGATGACTCAGGGTTGTTCCTTCCTCTGGTGACCTCGAATGCGCTGAAAAAACCCAGATGTTTCTTACCAACGTTAATAGGTTAGGGCGAGAACGGAACATGGTTAAATCAGAATGAGAAGCAGTTGATTATCCTGAGTGTTTTGGAGGAGGAGAAAGCTTGGGATGGGCGTAGAAAGCCCAGGAGATGGCCTTGAAGGGAGTTTTCAGATGCTGCTATGGAAACGAGGGCCCAACACATTGCTTAAGACCCGGGAAAGGCCGTCGCATTAAGGGAGCTCAGTCTGGCTTCTCCCAGATTCAGAGGGAGAGAGAGAGGAAGAAGTAAAATGTGTGCTTTGTTAATAGAGCATATATACTCTTGGGGAGCAGCTTTCTTGAGCTGGTCTACCTTGTAGGGCTGAACCTTCAGTGCTTTGAAAAGCTTATTAAAGTTTGGCGGAACAGTTTAGCTTCTGGGGTTCTTTAGGTCAGGGTGTCCAATCTTGGCAACTTTTAAGACTTGTGGACTTCAACTCCAGCTTTGCTGGCTGAGGAATTCTGGGAGTTGAAGTCCACAAGTCAAAGTTGCCAAGGTTGAAGACCCCTGTTTTAGGTTCAGTATCAATCCCCTTTTCTTTGGGTTTTTGCCAAAGAGGAAGGTGTTTTTTTTTTGTGGTTAGGAGAGAAATAACTAGTTTGATAAGGTTCCATTCAGAGGATACTCTTGCTATGTGAAGCCATGGAAGCAGGCATGTTTATAATGTGATCTATGAACGTTCATGGTTTGCGTGACTGCAGGCTCGGCTTCTGGTTGGCTATTAGTTGTTTGGTTGCTTCAGAAAACCCTTTGGGTAGACGGAAAAAAATGTTTTCTGATTGAGGGGGGGGCACTCCGTTTCATTCTTCTAAAGCAGGGGTGAGGAATTATGGCCCTTTTATGACTTCATGAACCAGCCACGCTGGCAGAGGAATTCTGGGAGTTGAAGTCCACAGGTCCTATAAAGGGGCTGTAGCACCCCACCTCTGTCCTAAAACAAGATACCATATTTTTTGGAGTATAAGACGCACCTATCTTTTTGGTGAGGAGAAGAAGAAAAAGAAATCTCCCTCCGCCTCTGAGCAATTTTTCCTCCTTGGAGCAAACAGCCTGCTTTAATTTCATTTTCATTTTCAGCATAGCTTGATTAGCACAAGGAAAACAAAAAATCTGCTCCCAGCAATTTACCTCTTTGCAGCAAGCAGCAGAGCCCTGTGCAAAACATCTGAGAGCAAAACAGCTGAGAGTCGGGAGGCCGATCCAATCAACTTGTGCTAATTAGGCTGTGCTGAAGCTGAAAGGAGCTGTTTCTTCTTACTGTTTGCTTGCAAGGAGGTAAACTGCTGGGAGGCAGAGGCCAAAGGGTGGGGGCCAGTGGGTGGGCGGAGCTACTTTTGGTGTATGACACACCCAAATTTTCACCCCCTTTTAGGAGGGGGAAAAGGTGCGTCTTATACGGTACTTCCTTTGAAAATACTTGTTCCAAAATATTCGATTGGATATTTGCCTTTCAAAGCGCACCAGTTGGGCAGAGATATCCAGATGGATATCTGCCTGATGCAGTTTGAAAGAGTGGATGCATCATTTGTGGATGCTTTTATTGTTTAATCAATGGGGGAAGCCAAATTTGCTTAACAACTGAGTGATTTACTTAACTTCTGACGTGACCTGCTTAACAACGGGGGGCATGGCAAAAAACATAAAATTGGGCATGACTCATTGCCTTGCTTAATGGGAATTATGGTCTCAGTTCTGGTCGTAAGGCTACCTCTATATGGAATTTAAATACCTTGCTTGAAAATTATGCAGAATTGATGGATATAGAAGTATAGCAGTTAGGAAAAAATATAGAAGTTTAGGGAAAAAAATCTTTGTATAGTGCAATTTTTCCTGCACTCTTAATACTAGGGGACTGTAAATTTCAGAATTCTCGGCTATGGCGATTATGATGAAGACTCTTAAGGAAGCATGTCAGGGAGAATTTTCTGTCTCTGATCTCTGGAAATGAAATCGAAGCTTTTTAAGCATCTGCTTGTGCCATGCTGCATGCAAGCCTGTAGTAGAGATTTCGTTTGCAGCTCGATCAGTTGCTGGTTTCATATCCTGCTCGGTGCGCCGATGTTGCTGCAGCAGGAATAATTCAAATCGCAATTGGACACCTTTTTAATTGGTTTAGATCTGTGGGTAAGCATGTAACTCATTGGGATTAGAAAACTATCTCATGTGGGGGGGAAAAAAAAACTTGATTGTTTTCCCCTCGTTAGCTCGGTGGGCAAACCTATTCCGAGTGCTAAGATGGCAATTTTGCCCCCAATGGCTTGAATATTGCTTTGCTTTTGGAAGTAAATCAAAATGGCTGACGATACCCTGGTGCTCTTCAGGTTTCTGCTCCCTCCTTGCCAGGGAAACTGACAGAGAAGAGAGGTGTGATTTATGCTTCAGCTTCTATGCTTGAGTTTCCACATCCTTAGTTGTCAAAGTGCTGAAGCTTGGCTCCGGTGCTCGAGACTGGCTTGCTAGGCAGGATAGGCAGTGCTGTTGCTAGGTAGGTGACTGGCTGGGGTGACCCACGGCAGGCTGGTATTGCTTCGTTTTCAGGTTTTACAAGTTTGCTTGCCTGTCATGGGGCGAGGGAGTTAAAAGTAACAATATGTTACTCTTGTGCGTCAGGATTTTCAGTGAATGAATAAAGGAGGGTCGTTGCATCTCAATGGCCAACATCTTAACATGGGTTGTAGCAACTAGTTCACTTCGATTCAAGTGCTGCCAAGAGAGTCTGCAGTACAGCCATGACCTCTTAAGCTTTGATTTTTGGATGGGAATGTTACCTTCTTTATGTTTTCCTGGCAAATGCACACAGCTGGAATTTGAAATGGCTTAGGGCAGAGGTCTTCAAACTTGGCCGCTTTAAGACTTGGCTGGCTGGAGAATTCTGGGAGTTGAAGTCCACAAGTCTTAAAGCGGCCAAGTTTGAAGACCTCTGGCTTAGGGTGCCCTTTAGCCTCTGTGAAATCTTCAGCTAGAGAGATGTCAGAAGTTTGTATAAGTTCAGTGTAAGAAGCTTTTTCAAATGACTTTTGACATTTATAGATTAGGTGCGAATTTCAGCCTGTTCATGAGAATGTAATGAAATTCACCAGTATCTTCATAAATCAAGACTTTTTCTCCATCCTGAACATAGCAACAATTAAAGTGTTCGGCCAGTGAAGGCTTTTGAATTCTCACAATAAAAAAGTCCAGTTCTTAATGCCAACATGTTTTTATACTAAACTGTAAAGTAGCGTAGGATAGAATAGGAATAGGAATAGGAATAGGAATAGGAATAGGAATAGGAATAGGAACAGAACAGAACAGAACAGAACAGAACAGAATCACATCATCACATGGAAAATTTTTCATGAAAGTGAAGGTACTTACTGGTAGATACATGTTGTGCCTCATTGCTAAAGTTGAATAGTATTCATGGCCAATCAAAGGAAAAATTCCCAAAGTGCTTAACCATTATTAACGGAATTTGCAACCACAACTCTTGGCAGCCCAGAAGTTTCCTTTCGTAAGGATTGAGACAGAACCATGGAGCAGAATATTACTGCTTGCTCGACAGGGTCTCCTTGTGCAGAGTTGGTTTGCCTCGCAGTACCAGATTCGAGAGCTGTCCAGGGCTGTAGCGAAGCCTGTCTGCTTGTGGCTTTCCAAAGGACCTGGTCGAAAAACCCGATGGCTCGTGTTACAGTTTTTAGTCGGCAAGAGATGCTAAGTCTCAGTGGTCGCCCATCTTAAAGCAACTTCTTTGGATTTAGCCTAGTGTTTTTGTGGGCCTGAACTTCCTGGCTTGGAAGAGGAGAGCATGCCTTGGTTTCAGGTAGCAATTATAGAGCCTGGCAACTTTCTGGTGGGCAGAAATGGGCCTTTTCATATTTTCGGATGGATAAGAGCCGCAGTAGACAGGGCAACAATTTCCTAATTTTAAAGGTGAATGGAGAATAATTTTGTTTTAAAAACTAGTCTATTTTAGGATTTCATCTTGTGTTGTTCTCTTCAAAGCAGAGTGGATTTGATTTAAATCGAGTTGATCTAAATCACGATTTAAATCATGATTTAAATCACTAGTAAAAAGACTTGATTTAAATCAACTCGATTTAAATCATAATTTTTAAAGAGCAACTGTCATCTCTGCTACTCCTTTGAC